TATAATTCCTCATGTGGTGTATGAAATTCCTAGACTTAATAATAAAAAGTGTTTCATTCATCATTACTAACTATTCATTCACTAAGTGGTTTTCCATGAATGCATCACTAGTTTTAAACCATAAAGTTATATTCTGGTCTAAAAACGGTGCAGTAGTTGTGATCTGAGGCTTCTAGATTTAAGGCCTGAATGTTAACCACCCAGCAGCTGTGGTCATGAACCTGAGCCGCTCTGTGGACTACAGGCCATTATTTAAGAAGTGTCGAGATGGTTCTCGAATCTGTCCCTGTGCTCTTTGACTCTTGTCGTTTCTCTGGTGTTGACTATGTGTTTAATATCTTAAAGAGACGTACTGTGCTTTTGCTCTGAAGTTTAAACACATGACACGAGTGGATCAATCTTTATACATTTTGGAACATGTTCAGTCTCAGAATCTCAAGCAACGTAGCAATTTCCCTCAGCTTGTATCGTAGTCTATACTAAGAATCACGATGCCATACATCATGTTATCTTTATTCAGGGATTGTGTTAACTGTGTGTTTGTCAGAGATCAGCTGTTCCTCTGTGGCATCAGCTTTGGAGTGCCAACCCCTCACATCGCACATTCCTGGACCTGTGAGCTGAACGATCTGTCTGATTCAGCATGACTGATCTGTGTGGTTTTCTACAGAGTCCAGACTGTCGCCTGGAGACACTCATGTCAGTCCCTTGCCACAGAAACACTAACACACTACAGTTTTTCATATGAAACTGCAAACACACTTTAAATGATTATAAATGATTCACACAAACATCTTATACTGTGAATGTCTTTACTCATGTTCTATTCTTATGTTCAAATAGTTTCTCACATTTATGTACCACTTACATGGAACTACAAATATACAACTGTGTTTTTAATGCTGAGGGGGCCGGGACTTTAACAAGTTCATTTAAGATTAATAATTACACAAAAATGTGTGCGTTAAAAAAATTGGACGCATTTTAATCGTAATTATTTTTGCAATACCGTGCGGAACATTTTCTCACAGGATGAGTTTTCAGACGGACCGCGATTATACTGACAGCACCAACTGCAACCAACCACAGTGAACATGTCGGCCTAGATCATATACGGAATCGGGACGAAACCGTAATTAACACTCGTACATCGAATTAGTTGTTAGACTAATATTCCTTAAGTGGTGACTGGTTAATTAATTTCGGCGTCTGATAAGATGGAAAAGGTGAGGGTTTAAAGGCCTGGTTGGGGTTATTTTTATGGGAATGGGCTGTTAAGGTTTAGGCATTAATAGTAATTTGTTACAATATTTACTTCCGCTTACGTCCCGATTCCGTATAGATATCGTGCTGACCCAGGAAAAGAACCATCGGATCTATTATAATAACTGGGTATTACCAGCTTGGAGCTGAAGGACCATGTTGCTCACGAAGCAGACAAAACCATACTAAACCAGACTACACCGACTAAACCAGACCTAAAAACCAGTCCCTAGAACCAGACTAAACCAGACCAAAATCAGACCAACTCACGACTAAACCAGACTAAACCAGACTAAAACCATACTAAGAACAGACATAGAACAACTAACCAGACTAAACCCGACAAACCAGATTAACACCAGACTAAACCAGTCGAACCATACTAAACCATACCGTTGTTGGCCCGCGGTTGTGATGGGAAGTATATTTCTAAATATGGTTCTGCACTAAAGTCAAAACTTTCACTGGTCCTGTTGGACTTGAACAAAAATAGAACAATATTGTGTCTTAAACTTTAAATAATCATCATTATTAATGTTTACTAAAAATCCATGTGAAAAAACCGCTTCTCTCTGGTTCGCAGGTCAAATTTTATATGTGGAGTGTAAAATTTGATTTATGAACCGTCCGAGGGAACCGACGTGTATATTGATAACCTCTGAGAGGCAAAGCTGCGTTTTGTGCGATGTTGAGAAGGTGACAGTCAGAAGATGGAATCCAGAACTGCAGATAACACGTTACGCTAATACTGTTTCATGTGGCCTATATATGTGCATTTTAGATTTCGGCATACTGTGGCTTATGAATGTTACTTTTATACTTAACAAGTTGGAGACCGAACTCATTGTGGTTAGATTTGGTGGTTTTGTAACCCTAATAAATGATTATTATATGTTCAATATGACTCATATTGACTGTAAAGTAGACAATATCGTGTTTTTCAAATATTGAATTTTACCTCTAAATAATAGGATCAAATTGAGGCTATATAAAGCGTAACTGCAATGCCTGGGTCTGAGTCCTCATTATTAGGTAGCTGCCCACCTGGCCTTTCTTCGTCAACACCTGATCTGAGGTGCGTCTGAGAGCAAACCATGTTAATTGGTGCTGTCTCTTTAAATGCTAATGAGGTAGCGCTTTTGACCACGCCCCCAACCCAAGGAGACCACAGGTTCAACACCACCCCGAGCGGCCATTTTTGTAGTTACAAAGCCACTACAATATCTCATAGCAACATCTCATTACATCGCAAACATGAATGCAGCTTCCTCCATAGACTGAAACAAATGTTACTTTTCAATCTAGTCCAGTCTTATATATCCGACATCTATCTCCATTTTAGCTTTGGGATGCGCACAAAAGTGCTATGATCTCACACGCCGGTTTTGTTTACGAACAGCGGGCCCGGGCCTTGCGCGTGACTCACGCGTCGCATATATGACGCACTATGCAACGATGACCGGAAATGTTTAAATTGAATATACTATCTATGCACAATATTACAGCATTTACAAACTTGAGCAACGTTTTTTCCTTCAACATAAGAAAGAGACGCATGCGCCTCCGAGCCGCAGGTTTGCCGACTCCTAGTTTATACATTATGTTTAAGCAAATTGTAGACAGTGTCTCCCAAAGTGGGGCCGCTGCCCCCTGGATGAGGGCCGCGAGGGTACTTGCGGGGAGCCGCGTGAGGTCATAAAAAAAAAATATATATATAATATAATATACTTTATTTAATGTTTAAATTTATAATGTTTTGTTTGTAATATTAAAATCTTTGGTGTCATTATTTTGACTTGAATAAACCCCTGTAATCATTTTTGTATTAACAATGTTTGTAGCATAGCATTTCCCCAAAATAAAATAACCAGAAGAGCCTATTCTTAATGTTGTCTTCTTGGTTATTATTTTGTGAGGGTGGCCAACGCAACCCGTCATATTTTAAAGGGGGCCTCGGAGTTACTTGAGTTTGGGAATGGCTTGCTGTATAGGATCAGGATAATGTGCAGTTTCCAACAATAAATAAAATGCAATAGTCTAACATTACAAATGTAATGAACATGGTCTCAGAGTGAGAGGAGGTGGACACAGACATCACTATTGTTTGTTACAGGGATGAACTGTGTCAAGAAAGACTGAAATACATATTTGTTCAGCCATTGCTGGCTCTAAATCTGTCTAATTTTTCACAACCTCTTCTTTGGTCTCAACATGAACTTTTTATTAAAAAAAAAATCAATGCAAAACATGTAGGTATACAGAGGCTTATTAGGGCGTTAAATCGCAGCATTCACGAGGAGATGGGAGGCACGCGGACTGTTTTTTCCTGCAGCAGTTGTATTTATTGGGTGCACAGAATACCAAAGACAACGCATGGTCCTGTGCGCTTTATGGGGTTGGGTACAAGGCCACGTGACAGCAAAGTCACGCTCAGCCACAACACGGAGAGCGGCTGCGAGAGGCAGTGAGGTTCCAGCCCCGCTCGCAGCCGCTCCACCTTGTTGTGGCCGAGCGTGCAGCCACAACGTTGGGCCAGTACCCAACCCATAAAACGCGCACAGACCATGCGTGTCTATTGAGATAATCTGTGCACCCAATAATACACTGCTGCAGGAAACCTCCGCGTCTCCCCTCTCCACTTTGAAGCCGATTAACGCCCTAAATAAAGCTCTGATACCTACATTTTGCATTGAATAACAAGTTCATGATTGAGCCCAAAAGTAAATATGTGAACAAATTAGACAGATTTAGAGCCAGCAAATGGCAGACAATATTATATCAGTCCCTATTTGACCAAATTACTCAACCTAGTAACAAACAAATAGTGTTGTCTGTGTACCACCTCCTCACTCTCTAGACATGTTCATTACCCTCTTGTTACTGTAGACTATTGCATTTAATTTATTGATGAAACTCACATAACCTGATCCTCTACAGCAGCCATTCCGCAAACTCAGTAACACCGATGCCCCCTTAAAAATCTGACGGGTCTGCGTGGCCCCCCGAATAATAATAACCAAGAAGACAACATTAAGAATAAGGTCTCTTCTGTTATTTTATTTTGGGGAAATCAGGCCTCTGCTAACATAACATTGGTAATACAACAACTGATTACAGTGGATTATACAATACAAATAATGAAGCCCAAATATTTTTATATTACCAAACAACACATTATTCATTATAACCTTGCAAATAATTATATATATATATATATATATTTTTTTTTATGACCAGTCCCGCGGCCCCCCAGCAGTAAAAGAAAATTGAAACCGCTCGCGGCCCCACCAGGGGCCCGCGACCCCCTTTGGGAGACACGCTCTACATTTGCTTCCACATACACTAGTATAAAAACTGAGAGTCGGCAACTCTGCGGCTCCGGAGGCGCATGCGTCATCTTTCTTCCTGTAAAGGAAAAACACAGTTCTCAAACACACATCATAAAAATGATCATGAGCAAAATGGTGCATAAGTAATAATTCAATTTAACATTTCCGTCAACGTAGTGCGTCATATCCTCGCGACGTAGGCCGCGCGCCAGAGCGGCCGCTGTAGTAAACAAACCGCGTGTTTAGCATCATAGACTGTGCCGCATCCCAAAGCTAAAAAGAGAAAGTCGATTAATAAGACTGGACAAGAAAGAAAATAACAATTGCTTTCAGTCACTGAGGAAGGCCTGCTCATGTTTTGCGATGTAATGAGAAGTTTTTCTATGAGATAATTTGATTTGTGCTTAGTAACTAACGGGGGGGGGTCGGGGGGTGAAGGGGGGGGGGGGGGTGGGGGGGGGGGGGTGGGGGGGGGGGTGGGGGGGGGGGGTGGGGGGGGGGGGGGGGGGGGGGGGGGGGGGGGTTGACAAAATGGCCGCTCGGGTGGAGTTTGAACCTGTGTCCACCTGATGGGGGCGAATGTTCAAAAGCGCCTCATTTGCATTTAAAGAGACAGCACAAAACAGGTGCTCCGAGACGCACCTCAGAACAGGTGTAGAAGAAATCCAGTGGAGCGACAAATAATGAGACTCAACCCATGCATTGCATTGACGCTTTATATAGTGCCACAAATTGCTGATTAGATTAAAAATCAATATTGAAACACGATATGTCAACTTTAAGGTCAAATAAGAGTCATATTAACATATAATCATCATTAATATTTGGTTACAAAACCACCAAAATTCAACCAACAATGAGTTCGACCTCCAACTTGTTAATATAACCAGAAACATTATAACCACAGTATGCACGACTTAAAATGCACTAATATAGGCACATGAACAAGGATTAGCAGTAACGTGTGAATGCAAGTACTGGATTCAATCTTCTGACTGTCACCTTTCCAAACATCGCACAACTCAATTGCCTCATCAGATGATTATCAAATACAACGTCGGTTCCGCTCCGGGACTGTTCATAAATCACATTTTAAACACATATAAATATTTTCTGACCTGAGAACAGAGAGAAGCGGTTTTTTCACATGGATTTTTAGGTAAACAATTAAATAATGATGAATACATTAAGTTAAGCAACACAAATATTGTTTCAATATGTAATTTGTTCAAGTCCAACAGACCATTGAAGTTTGCCTTTACAGTGCAAACCATGATTAAGAAATATACTTCCAGCCACATTGGCCAACACCGGTCTTGTGTTAGTCTGGTTTAGAACTGTTTAGTCATGGTTTACATCTGGTATGTCCCTGGTTTAGTCTGGTTTAGGTCTGTTCTAGTCTGATCTAGTCTGGTTTAGTCTGGTTTAGTCTGGACTTTAGTCTCGGTTGGATCAGCACATTGGTCTGGTTTAGTCTGGTATATACAGGTTTAGTCTGGTTTATCTGGTTTTAGGTCTGGTTTTAGACCTGAGGTTTAGTCTGCACGTGAGCACATGGTCCTATCAGCTCCAACTGTAAGACCCAGTTATTATAATAGAACCCTGGGTTCATAGTTCACTGGCGTCAGCACGTTAGATCAAAATATAACGGAATCGTGGACGAAGTCGGAAGTAAATATTTCAATTACCTATTAAAGCCTAAACATAACACATTCCCATAAAATAACCCACCCCAGCCATAACCCTACCTTAACCATCTTACTCAACCGCCTAAAACTTAAACCATCACCACTTAAGGACATATTAGTCGAAGGCACACCTAATTCGAAGTACGAGTGTTACTTCCGTTTCGTCCCCATTCCGTATATACTAGTGCCGAGCTCATGTTCACTGTGTTTGTAGTCAGTGGGCGTCAGTATAATGCGGTCCGTCTGAAACTCATCCAGTGAGAAATGTTCCGCGGTGCAAAAATAAATACGAATAAAATGCGTCCAATTTTTAACGCACACAAATTTTGTGTCAAATTAAATTAATCTAATGAAACTGTTAAAAGTCCCGGCCCCCGCCAGCCTTAACACAGTTGTCTCTTGCATCCATGTAAGTGGTACAGAATGTGAGCAAACTATTTTGAACATAATATAAACAAGAGCTAAAGACATTCCCAGTAAACAGATGTGTGTGTAATCATTTATAATCATCTTAAAGTGTTGTTTGCAGTTTCATACGCATAGCAACAACTTTAGTGTGTCAGTCGTTTTTCTTGTGCAGTTGATACACGAGACTTAGTCGTCTCCAGTCGACATGTCTGGACTCTGTAGAAAACCACACAGATCAGACACTGCTGAAATCAACAGATCGTTCAACTCAGGTCCAGAAGTGAGATGTGAAGGGGTTGGACTCCAAAGCTGAGGCCACAGAGGAACAGCTGGATCTCAGACAAACCACAGTTCCCCAACCTGAATAAGAACACATATGTACATTAGAGCATCGTGATCTTATAAGACTACGATACAAGCTGAGGAATTGCTCGTTAGCTTTGACTAATCTGAAGACTGAACCTTTTCCAAATGTATAAGAAATATACCACACGTGTCATAGTATTAAAACATCAGAGCAACGCACAGTACGTCTCCTTTAAGATATTAAACCCATTAGTCACACACCATAGTAAACACAAGAGACCAAGAGCAAAGGGACAGGAATTCGACCAACGACCACTTCCTAAATAATGTCCTAAGTCCACAGAGCGGCTCAGGTTCATGACCACCGCTGCTGTCTGCCACATCAGGCCTACAATCTAGAAGCCTCCCAGAACAACTACTGACCCATTTTAACCGAAATAAACTATATTTTAAAACAGTGATGCATACATAGGAACACCACTTAGTGAAATAATAATAGTAAATGAAGAATGAAACCCTTTTATATCTTTAAGTCTAGAATTACATACAGCCACATGAGCTTTCAATAATTACAGGCTATATTGGAATAATCACATTTAAAAGTGACTATAGTTTGTGCGTCCAACAACAGAAAAGTGTCCCAGAAGTTGTCTGACACATCTGTGTCCTTGAATTAAAAGAACGTTCTAAGCCTGAATCATAGTAAGATGGATTTTTACTACCAGACCCTGAAAGCTCCGCCACTATCCAAGCTCTCTATCATCTTTTGATAAACAAGACCACTGTTTAAGGTGCTAAACTGTAATGATGTGAAATAATACATTATGGATCAATAACATATACAACCGGTGCAGCTCCCTCTGTGTCATCAGGAGGAACTTGCTCCCACAGTTATGTGACGAACACACATCACACAGCGCGCGCCATGAGGATCCCTGAGGTTTAAATGAAGGACACTCACCTGAGAGAGTAGACGTCTCCCGTGAGGACACCGCAGTCCAGCACACAGCACAGACACACTTGTAGTCACCAGATTACATTACGACTCAGCTCCAATCATGAGAAGGGAGGGGCGGAACTCAGCGCTGGATGCCACCACGATCACAGTCAGGTCTCTTGAGAGTCTACAGTCACACCAACCTGTATACAGACGTTAATATAAATAGATAGAGTCTGATCAGGAACTTGAGCAGTTGTGAGGACTGACCATACTTCCTGCAGTTCCTCACAGCAGGGATCAGTCTCCTACAACCTTCTCAGACGTGTGTACTTCTTTGGGTCCAGTTCTCCAGGACCTGGTCTGACACCTGCAGCAATGTAGGCCAGAGCAGAGCAACTGAACACAGACAGTTCGTCTGCTGAGTCCCTTCCAGACTTTCAGGAGAAGCTGGACAGTCTGCAGGAGAGACTGGTCCTTCATCTCCATCAGACAGTGGAAGATGATGATGCTTCTGTCTGAAGACTCCTCCTCTGATTCTCATCTCTTTGGAGTTTTTCAATGACTATTGTGGATTCTGACTGTTCCACTGGAATTCAGCAGCCATTTTAAAAGTCCTCCTGTTGGAGTCCAGACTGAAGGCCAATGAGGAAGCACACAAACAGTCCAGAGCGACCGTTTGAACCACTCAGGGATTTATCCAAGAGACTTTCTGATAAACTCACTTGTACACTTACCTGTGGATCTGAGTCTTTTTCACAGAGAAACTACTCAACGACTTGCATGTCACTTCCAAAGCAGTGCAGCAGTAAACCGCTGCCAAAACTCCTGGATCACTCATAAGGACGAAGCTGTAGACAGATTGGGTTGAAGACAACACTTTCATGTTGAAGATCTCTGTACAGAGTCCTGATTAGACCGCGGCTCGTCAGGGTCCAGTCCCACCTGCTCCAGGTCTGCCTGGTAGAACAATAATGTTTACCTTGCAGCAGAAGTTCAAAGGCCATCTGCCCAGCATCATGGAGGAATGTCTGCTTCTGTCCGACATCCACTGTTGTATCTTGTCTCTCATTCCGCTTCTGAACCTGACCAACCCAAAACTGCTTTACCTGAACGGCCGTCACGGCTCTCGGTTGGTCTTATCTCTATCTGTAGGTCTGCACCATAGGAAGCCAGCGTACATGTCGCTGAGATCTGGGGCAGCGCGAGCGCGACTTCGATCGTCTCACATGTGGTCCCAGGACGGTGGCGTTGGAGCCAGCAGAGATGGGGCTGATGACACATTGATGTGGAGGCTGCGGGAGCTTCTGATGTGGGACAGGACTGTCCTTACAACTGCACTACATTCGGTGAAACCTCTTCCTGAAGTACTGCTCCTTCTGACGCTCAGTGATGAAGCCTCTGACCTCTAGTGACTCCTGTGCACACTCTGTGCTGGGATCTGATTGAGGCTGCTGCTGGTCGGAGGAGATCCATATAAGACAGTAGGAAGCAGAGTCCTCGATGAGGGTATCACTATCACACACGACTCTGATTCTCTGTGTGACCTCAGAGATGAGCTCCCAGTCCAAAGTCCAGACCCAGTCAGCTCTCGTACCAGATCCGTCTAAGGATGAAGAGGAGTTTAGGAGACACGACAGATGAGTGAGTGGAGAGAGAGTCTGTGGACACAAGAACATGACAGTTACCAAGTCATACATGATGAATGCAGAGCAGATTCGAGCATGGATGATCATGTTGACATCAGTTTGACACAGGAAGAAGTGTCATTTTATAACGTTATTATTAGTTTCCCTGATTCAAACTCCATCATCTCGGGCTGGGAGAAGTTCTCAGTTGTGATTAAATGTCACTAATAATAAATGTTGAAAGTAAAACACTGTGAACTGGACTGATAGCAGAAGAAAAAGCACCTGTTTTTTTCCTGCGCTGATGGAACACTTGTATGAGCTCATCAACAGTCGCGCTGCCCCTTTCACCAGGATACATCTCTCAGAAGGACAGCGGCACCACTCAGCTCCATCTCCTGTTTTCTCTGAGCCCTGAGCCCAGTTCAGAACAGAAACGTATTTACAACTGAGAAGGTCTATCCCCACTCCAGCCACTCACAAGGTCAGCACTGCTCTGATGACTGGGCGCCCCTGCTTAGCTCCTCAGTGGCATGCTTTAAAGTATGTCCTGACACCTG